CCCCTGAAAAAAAAACACATACTTTGTTTCCCCACCTCCCATCATCAGGCCGGTGTTACTAATAGTCCCATTTTCATGAAAGGACTGAGAGTTGCAACAAAATAGACCCTCACAGCTAATGATCGAAATCTGAGCCATTCGGACTTTAGGGTTGGACTCTAGTGCAGCTTCTGCCTCAGTTTCCCTCCACAGTGGGGTGAGAGCCCCATGGGGACCTGCTGGCCCAGGCCGGTGTCTATCCTCAGAGCATAGTGTACAGACGGCACTCTTGGGGCCGAGGAGAGGCGGGGATGGGTCGTCATCCCCACTTACCAGGTGCAGAAACTGGGCTCGGTCAGAGACGTTACAGGGACCAGCCCAGAGCAAGGAGGAAGAGCAAGCTCTCAAGCCAGGTGGTAGCTATACATAAAGCAGGGCTGTCCCTGCACCGTGAACTCCACCAAGCAAAGCGTGCTTCCCCTGACTGCTGGCCCGATGTGGCAAGTTACAGGTGCACTTGGCCAGGCCTCAGGCTGTGGGTGGGAATGATGGTGACAGTGACGGTATTCACCACTGATTCTGGGGCACTAAACGTAGTTCATCTTGACAACACGCCTGCTGGGTGAGCGTCATCATCTCCCATCTTACAGATGAGCGCGTGACTGAGGACAGCTACCCGTGTGCACGGACGGAGCTCAGTGCTCCACGCACCTCCGCATCCTTCGTGCTCTGCGTTCCTCCCCCATTTTACACAGATAGAAGAGGCGAGGTGACTGCCAGGTGTCACACAGCCCATGCAAGTGGGCAGGGCTCTGGTTTCCACCCAGCTGGCTGCCCTACGTTGCTCCACCTCCAGGGCTGAGCTGGGGGACCCAACAGGATCAAGGTGGTGCCCTCATTAGGGTAAACCACACAAAATTGCCACCTAGGTAGGTTCAAAAATGGTTGGCTACCCGCCATTTCCTATGGTTGGAGTAATATCAACACTGGTCGAGAGCATTCTGTGTGGCAGGGACTTTCTGAATTCACCAACCCTCTCTGGGACATCGACTCTGTGCCGGGTATTGGGCTAGTCCTCAGGATGTGCTGGGAGCAGGGACAGTCCTAGCCCTCAGGCCATCCAAAACAGTGCTGGGCCAGGGCAAGCCCCAGAGACTCCGGAAGCAGAGAGCAGAAGCTCCGACCCAGATCTGGGGCATGGCCACCCAGAGAGAGCTTCCCAGAGGAGCCGCCACCTCCTTGCACCCCTGAAGGTGCGGGAGAGGGTCGGGGAGTTCCCGGTGCAGCTGCAGTCTGAATCCTGCCCGGGCTGCTTCCTGAGACCCGGGTGAGACTCCACTTCTTCCTCTGTACGATGACAGGACCTACCCCACGGAATTCTCGAAGGCTCACATCAACGTGGCCACTGACCAGACTGCTTTGTGGGGCCCCCTCGCCGCGTTATACAGAACTTTCCCACAGGCTTCCTGCCTGGGAAGATCCAGCCCACAGGCAAAAGGCTCTGCCCCAGCACGGGGCAGCAGCCACCTCTACGTCACGCCCCTCCACTCTCCTCTCTCCACGCCTTGGCCGCTGGGAGAGACCCTCACTCCCTCTCACTCCATCATCCTCAGGCGCAGCCCTCTGGGATTTTTCCCACACTGGGGCCCGCCCTGCCCCCCGCCCCCCATTCCGCATGACCCCACACACGCATAGGACTGGGGCAGAGCTGTCTTGGTCTCACACTGACACAGGGCCCCCTGGGTAGGGGCAGTCACTGCCCACAGGAGGGGACGGGGCAAGTATTAATATTATGGCTCTGCTTTACGAATAAAGCCAGTGCGACTTAGAGTGCAGCGACTAGAAACCAAATCTCCTCCCCCAGCCCTGCGGGTCCCCCAAAGGCAAGGGCAAGCCTGGGGCAGTGCCCAGCGCACACGCCGCGCCCCAGGCGGCCTCCCAGGCCCCTCCATCCGCCCGCGCTCTCACCGTCTCGGGGCTCGGGCTCGGTGCCGCGGAACCGGCCAGCGGCGCGGGCGTCCACCACCTGGAAGCGCCGGGATTCCAGGTTCTCCTTGATGTCCTCGTAGGTCTTGACAAAGGAGGGGTCGAGCTCAGCGCGGAACTCTGCGGGCGCCGGGTGGCTTTTGCCGGAGCTGAGCGGGAGGCCCTGGCGCAGCCAGTGGCGGAGGCCGCCGTCGAGCAGCGACACGGTGTGGTGGCCGAAGGCGCGGAACATCCACCAGACGCGCGGGGCCGAGTAGAGGCCCTGGTCGCTGGCGTCGTAGATCACGACGTGCGTGGCCGCGCCCACGCCCAGGCGGCCCGCGTACTCCGCGAACTGCGCGGCGCCGGGCAGCATGTGGTCGTAGGGCGACGTGCGGTCGCTGCACTGGTCCAGGTCGAAGAAGGCGGCGCCTGGGATGTGGCGCTCCTCGAACTCGTGGCGCGCGTCGCGGCCCAGCTTGGGCAGGTACCAGGAGGCGTCCAGCAGCTGCAGGGGCTGCCCGGCGCGCGGGGCCCGCAGCGCCTCGGCCACCCACTGCGCCGACACGAGTGCGCGGAAGAGCTGCGGAGGGGCCATGGCGGTGGCGACACTCGGGTTGCAGGCCTGTGCGACAGGGACGATGCCAGGAGTTAAGCAAGAAGAGGCGACCCTGGGGCGGGAGGCCACCCTGGGGCGGGAGACGCCCGCGCCGCGGGGGCTGGGGCAAGGACCCTGAGGAAGGTGGGGCCGGGGCAGGGCAGAGTCTCTAGGGGAATGCAGACACCAGCAGTGCTGAACCCGAGCACAGAGAGCACAGAGGGAGGTTGCCAGGGCCCTCCCGCTGCCAGGCCTTGGATAAATACACAGCTCCCAGCGACAGAATGACCGTGATGCCCTGGAAAGGGCGAGGCATACCTCACCTTCACTTGCTGGGTGGGAAGGAAGTGGGTAGAGGTCTGTGCAGGGGAAAGCCCTGCGGGCGGGCGCTTTAAGGCAAACTGGGGCAAAGTCTCAGCCCCTCCGTAAGAGGCTGCTCAGCTTTATTTGCAACCAACCAAGGTCCCTGCTGGAATTGTCCACTCCTCAAGCATTTTCATTAGCTGCCTAATGGGATCAGTAGCTGGAATTTACTGAGTCCTCACACTTTCATCCTCACAATACCTGAGACAGTAAACTCAATTATTTGTTGAATGAGTAGCCTTAAGAGGTTTGCTGTTATTGTCACCATTTCATGGAGGGGGACACTGAGGCTCACAGAAGTGCACAAACTTGACCTGGTGGCACCAGGCTTCACACTATGCAGTCTGGCACGACAGACTTTTCAGCAACATGCGCTGTGCTGACTCTGGGAGCATCGCAAGGCCAGGTTTTGCCCCTCCAGCCTGCACATTCTCTAGCCCTTCTTCTAGCAGCAGCAACAGTGACTTGGCACCTCTCTCCTCCTCCCTGCCTGCAAGCCAGAGGCCGAGAGCCCACCAGCTCACCAGCCCACATGTCAGCCCACAGACTTCCAGGGTGCAGACTCCCCACTTTTAAGTCTTTTGGGCTGGGCAGCCTCAGTCTATAAGGTGCCTTTGTGCAGGTGAGAGAAAAGGGCCCCTTTTGCCAGGCAGAGGCAGAGCCCCCCCCCCCCCCCGTGACCAGGACACATGGCTGGGTGTGTGGAGTGGGGGCACAACTTTCCATCCATACCAGCCCGTCCTGCCAGCGAGATGAAGGGGGAGGGTAGAGAACAGATTTGTGGTGTTGCCCTGTGGGCCAGGCCACATGTTAAGCACCACAGTGAGTAGGTTTTAGGATGCCTGTTTTATGAATGGGGCAACCAGCAGTTAGAGGAGTGCCTTGCCCTCGGCCACAGAGCTGGTCCGGGGAGCCTCAGGATTCGAAGTCAGAATTCAACTCTAAGGCTGGACTTCCCTAGCCCCAGGGGCCGTGATGACCAGGGCATGATGAGTCCGCAGTGTGACATTTTGTGTCCACAACACCCCCTACAGTATTGTACGGCTGGCTTCTAGGAACCCACTTCACCCACACAGTCTGGCCCTGGGCTAGACAGTGAGGAACTCTTGACTTTGCCAGGCCCTGGGGGTACAGACAGGCCCTGGGCCTGCTTGAGAGACGGTATAATTGAGGAAAGTCTAGAGTCCAGCACGAGCACACAGGGGCCCCAACCTCAGCCTAGAGTGGAGCGGGAGGAGTGGGAAGGCCCCTGGAGGAAGTGAAAATCCAAACTAATTTGACCTTTCAGGGGCCCAGGAAACCTCAGCTTGACCTTCAGGATGAGGACGCTGCCAAGGAGGCTTAGCTAAGGGACGATCCCAATAATCTGTGTTATGCCACAGCTGGGAATGCTGGAGAGTGCTGCAGTTCCTTCCTGAAGAACCCATTTGTGAAGCACAGGAGCCCCTCCCACCGTTCGTGAGGATCCTTGTTGGTTTCTCCCCCCACCCAAGGATCCATTTAGAGTGGAAAGGACCCTGTTTGGGAGTCAGAAGCTCCCCAAAGTCAGTGCAAACCCCACTCTGCTGTTTAACTGGTTGTGTGTTGGTGGCCATGTTAGTTAGGGTCCCTGGGTGGTTTCTGTTCCTTATAATGGAGCTTCCAAGCATGGGGATTAAATGGAGATTAAACAATGAATGGAGCGGGCCACCAGAATGCATTACGTATGGCTGGTTTTAATAATCATTAAACATGGTTTAATAAAATCCCATTATTTTTTCCAGTACTGTCATAGGTGGCCCTTGAACTGACAGCAGCAAATCTAAGGACCTTAGAATTTCAGGGCTGGGTGGGACTCCAGAGGTCTGAGGTCACCCTGCCCCAGCCTCTCTGCTTGACTGGCAGTTCTCACAAAGGCCTACAGGCAGTGGAGCAGGGTCTGAGAGGGCAGGCTGTGGGTGTCAGGGACGGGCAGATCAGAAAAAGGGACCAGGTGCCTGTGTGCACAGGGGCCAGGATCACTGTAGGTGGGGTGTTCTGCGAGTGAAGGACCCCAAGACATACCACCGCCTCAGGGGCCTACACGGCTACACTAAGGTAAGTGTAAGCTCCAGGCCAGATCAGAGTGGGCCCCAGAGGAGCAGAGCTTGGGCACTCCTCGAGGACGTCCCCAGCCTGGTCCCTTGGGGCACCCTCCTGCCCCCACTGCCAAGCACAAGGCTTACAGGACCGCTGTGAGAAGTAGCAAAACAAAACCAGTTTTTTGGAAAGGGGCATGAGGAAAGCATTCCAGACTAGCTGGAGCAAAAGCTGGGCAGGAGCAGTGGGGTCCTACCAGTTTGCAAGAGCCAATGGATAGATTTTCAGGAATTTTGCCAACTGGTTGTTAAACACGGCTACTGTTAAAAGTTAGAGAAATTTATGATTAAATAGGTTAAATTAAAAACAAAGGCAAATTTTTAAAACAGCACGAGGCTTCAGGCATGAGCCAGGTAAACAAAGGCAGCTACTACCACTTAGGCTTCAGACTGCGATTAGGCCCAGCCTCAACTCCAAGTGCGTCCTCCAGCAACTTGCTCCGCCACTCTCTCCCGCCTTTAATAAGTTCCGGGCCTACCTGGCACGCTTACTGCGGGAACCAAGTAACACCACGGGAGTATCAGCAAAGCGCCACACCAAACAGGCCCCACGGTGTTAGTTTCCTTTCACTCCAGCAAGTTCATTGCCAGTGTCTCTTCCTGGAACCTCTCTGGGTCAGTGGGGCCTGGTCGCCCTGGTCTCTCTGAAGGGCTTTATTAGTCAGTCGTCCACCGTTCCTCCTACCCTCTCTGGCGGCACCAGGTCACCACGCCCCCACTCACTGCTCCCCACCCGCCACTCACCACGACCTCACTCTGCAGGCCGCCCCAAGCGGCCGCAGACGGTCATCCTTAGGGCAGACCTCGGGGCGCGCCTTCCCTCCTGGACTGCGCCCCGTCCTCCGCTCAGGCCCCGCGGGGGAGCCCCGCGCCACCGCGCACCCCAAAGAGCGACCTCCCCCTCCAGAAAGGAAACGCGAGGCCGCGGCAGTTACCCGGGTCTCGGGCTCTGGGCTTCCCGGCTCCGCCGCACCCTCCGCCGCGGTGCGGCGCCCCCTCCCCGCACCCGCAGCCATCCCCTCCTCCCGCCACCAACCTGCGGCCGGCCAAAGGGAGGAGACTCCGGCACAGCCCACCGCCGCGGCCACTCGGAGCCGCCGCTGCCCGCGCCTTCCACTGGCCAGGCCTGCGGGGGACGCCCGCCCCGCCCCGCCCGGCCCCGCGCCAGCCCCGCGCCGCCTGGTGCCCCCCGCAGCACCCCTCGGGTCTGGGAGGCGCCGCGCGCCAGAGGCGGCGGGGGACGAGCGTAGCGGCGCGAGGGCGGCGCGGAGTCGCGGCTGATCGCTCGGGGTCCCCCCTCGGACGGCGGCGCGATGGTGCAGGCCGCCCGGGGAGCCGTGAGCTCGGGGTTTGAACCCGCCAGCTTCTCCAGCGGGCCGGGGCGAGCGCCAGCGTGGCGTCCAGGGCGAGTGAGTGCTGCGGGGCGGGGCGGGGGCGGCGGCCAGGCGCCAGGGCCGCTGGGGATTAGGCCGCTGGCCGGGCCACCTGCGGCTCAGGGAAGGATCCCGGTGGCAAGAGCCGGACGGGGTGCCCCGGGAACCCCTGGCCCAACTAGGGCAGAGGGCACCGAGCCGGGGCCGGACTCTGGCATTCTGGAGGCCGGCGAGCCCGGGCTGCCGCGAGGCCGCGGGCGAGGGCGCGTAGGGGTCTCTGGCCGCGCTTCCCCTGTGCGCCCACCCCTCTGCCGTCCCAGGAAAGGGGACTCTAAGTCCAGGATGCCGTCTCCCCAGTCCTGCGCATGTTTTCTCTGCTCTTTTCTGGCAGGACCGAGTATTGTAGCTTCCAGGGGCCAGACACCCTCCCGGCCTGCTCCCCCAGCTGGGCCCTCCGCAGCTCTTGCCCCGCCCCCTCTGCGCTGGGGCCCCGGGAGGGGCGGGGCCGGCTTTCCTTAGGGAATCTTGGAACCTACTCCGCTGCACGCCCCTGACACCCTGGGTGGCTATAAACACCACACCTGGGGGAGTGCAGTGGGAGAAACAGCTCCTCCTCCCGGGCCCCATCCCATGGCACACGCAGCCTTCCTCATGCCTGTCTCTCTTTCCCGGTTCCCACCCGCGCCAGGTGACACGCAGAGCCGAAAGCATGGTTCATCAGGTGCTCTACCGGGCGCTGGTCTCCACCAGGTGGCTGGCGGAGTCGGTCCGGACTGGCAAGCTGGGGCCCGGCCTGCGGGTGCTGGACGCATCCTGGTACTCACCGGGCACCCGTGACGCCCGCAAGGAGTACCTAGAGCGCCATGTGCCCGGCGCCTCTTTCTTTGACATAGAGGAGTGCCGGGACACGGCGTCGCCCTACGAGATGATGCTGCCCAGCGAGGCTAGCTTCGCCGACTACGTGGGCCGCCTGGGCATAAGCAACCAGACGCACGTGGTGGTGTATGATGGTGACAACCTGGGCACCTTCTATGCTCCGCGGGTCTGGTGGATGTTCCGTGTGTTTGGCCACCGTACAGTGTCAGTGCTCAATGGTGGCTTCCGGAACTGGCTGAAGGAGGGCCACCCGGTGACATCTGAGTCCTCACACCCAGAGCCAGCCATCTTCAAAGCCACACTGGATCGCTCCCTGCTCAAGACCTATGAGCAGATGCTGGAGAACCTCGAATCTAAGAGGTTCCAGCTGGTGGATTCACGGTCCCAAGGGCGGTACCTGGGCACCGAGCCGGAGCCGGATGCAGTAGGTAGGTGTCGCAGTGGTGAGTGGTCCCCGGGGAGTATTGCCTAATGCAGGGATAGGGAGTAAGGATGACGGGGAACTGCTCCAGGTTTTGCCCTCAGTACCCACTTGGAGGCCTCAGTCTTTCTATTCTTAAAATAAGAGGGTGGAGCCAAACCTAAAGGCTTCTTCAGCTCTCATGCATGAGAACCTACAAATATGTCCCCATAGCCATGTGCTAACAACTGACCTAGCATCCATGTGGAGTGGCATTGGCAGAGTGACTGGTGACATGTCCACCCACATCCACTCCCAGGCACCAGCTCCGCCAGGTGCACTAGGGTACCCCAAGGGCGTCATGCCCATGTGCCGAAGTTTGCATGGCTGTACAGAAGGCTCCCAAAGAAGCTTCTCAGGGCCTCTCTAGTCTCCCAGAAACCCTTACAGATATCAGCGGTGCCTTCCCCCAGGTTCCCCTCCCTCCATTTGGCTCTCCTGGGCTCCCTTACTGGTGTTTGCAAAAGTCAACCTGGTTGATAACTTTCCCAAGCAGCTGCAGCCTGTCTGCAGAGCTATAACAACAGCTGCCAGTTCATGCTAGACGCTTGACACTGCATTATCCCATCCAACAATACCCCCGTATTAGCAGTGAGATGAAACTGAGATACCAGGATGTTAAGTTACTTGCTCAGTTAAGTGGTAGAAGCCAGGATTTGAACCCAGCGCTGACCTTGTTTCAAAGCAGGGCACTAAACCAGGATCCTGCCCCACCCCTACTCCCAGGGCTAGGAGGAAGCCCCTTCTGCTAGACATCCCCAGGGAGATGGCTCACGAGTCCTCCTCCTGTGGAAGGGGAGGCCGGGAGGATTCTATACTATTTGAGGGGTGGGGGGACCTCAGGAGAGGAAATGCTGAGTGTTAGAACCTCCTAACCAGAGAGGACCCCCGAGGTTTTGCCTTTCCTAGGCACAGGACCAGAGTCTTGCTGTCATGACTCCTGCTAGGTGCCCTCCAGTGCCTGCCTGGACAGCTCCAGTGGCAGGTGGCAGGGACCTCACTTTTCCCCGGGGCCTGTGGCAGCTCGGGGTGGCCAGCACCTCCGTGGCTCTTTCCTCAGTCAGAGCTCCTCCTCTACAGAGTCTAAGTCATGTGCAACATTTTACCCAACTTGTTGAAAAACATTTCTTCCTGTCTGTACCCCCAAGGGGGAGGTTGCTAGGAAAGCTGATCTGCATATGCTCAGAGCGGGAGGGCCTGGAAGCTTACCTCATCAGACAGAGGGGACACTGAGGTGCACAGAGGCAGGCCTCAAGGCCACATAGCTAGTTAGTGGCAGAGTCAGGGGAGTGCAGGCTCTGCCCTCCCCAGCGAGGCTTTTTCCATGCCCATATTTTTCTCCCTGGCTTGCTCTCTGAAGGTCTGGAGTTGAAGATTCAAGTTCATTTGGCACCTTCCAGAGACTCCTGGCACGGGACACCTGCAGTCCCCCCCCTGGCCTTGGTTCAAGAGGCCTCCTCTCCTGGGGACTTAAGCTGCCCCTGGGGGAGGCCCTGTGGTGGCGGCTCTCTTGCTGCTTCCCAGCCTGCCCTGAAGCAGCCTGGGACACAAGTGAAAGGAAGAGCTCAGAGATGCCAGGCCCCGCCCCTTGGGGAGGAAAGTGAGGCTCAGAGAAGGGAAACAGCCTGTGGCAGGAAATGCCTTCTGAAGGCCCCCCTCTTCTCCATGATCCTGTTCCCACCTCCTCCAGTTCCCATCTGGAGCACCAGGGAGCATGGATTCTCAGTTTAGCTCAGCCACTCCTTTGTGGGGGACCTCAATCCGATTGCTTGGCCTCTCTGGGTTTCCTTATCATGAAATGAGAAGAGTAGCCCCAGGCCTACCCCAGGTGTGTATTTATTTAAATGCAGCCAAGGCTGGAAAGGGATTCTGAGAAAGGTAAGGAACCGTCCCAAGGCCAGGGCCATCTAGAAAGACATAGAGGATGTGGCATCTCATTCCCTAAGAGGCCTCGCTTGCCTCCTGCACAAGGCATTTTGGGGACACAAAGGCACATGAGGCTCTGCCACATTTACAGACCCTAGCTTGGGGTGGGATCAGGGAGGCACCCAGTGGATTTAGCAATCCAGATATAACACACGGGGGCATGCAGGTGGCAGGCCTGGGGGACAGGCCTTGGCCCTGAACGTCCCTGGAAGGAGCGACTCCAGGAGGAGCTGGAAGCAGGGCCTTAGGCACCAACTTCCCCTCTGGCCTTAGTTCTGTGTCCCCAGATGCCTTCGGTCCTGTTCGTAAGGGGTGCAGGGGAGGAGTCAGACAGACCTGAGTTTCCACCCAGATACGGCACTGATGTGTGGCCTCAGGCAAGTCCCTTCTCCTTGAACTGTTCTCCCCCTTTGTGAACCAAATTCTGCACAGCTTAAAGGAGGGCTGGGGGAAGTGAGGGAAACAGAGGCAGGAGTTTATCCTGTCCAGTTTCTTTATAAACATCATTTTCTACCTTCCCCCTTGGAGGGGGTGAGGGTGAAGAGGACAGTGACCCCTTTTACCTGCAGAACCCTTCACATCTAGCCTCTTCTGGGCCCCTGCGGCAGCCGTGGAAGGGAGGAGGCGGGGTAGGTGGTCCCACTTTCCAGCTGGGGAAAGGGAGAAGAGACCTTAATGGGGCAGAGGGCCCGAGACTCCGCCCGGGATCAGCAGGCATCAAAGTGGGGCTGGCTGTTCCCCAAGGCCACTGCTTTGGGTGGGGTAAGCTGAGAGCAAACCCAGAGACTGGGGAAAGGTCACAGCTCCACAGTGTTGCTTCATGGGACCAAGGGTCCCTCTGCCACTGTCCCTCCCTCCCAGGGCTGAAGGAGGTGGGAGGGTGCGGGGTGCCTTTAGGAGGAAGTCAGAAAGGGCCAAACAGGTTTTCCTGGTCTTGAAATCAACACCTGTCGGAATGTTAACTGGACAACTGGGCTGACATCTTCTTGGCCAAAGTTGGAACACAAAGTCCCAGACGTCTGAGCCTTTGAGGAGCATGAGGGGTTCGTCTCATCCAGTCCCTGCCTCGGCCTCCTTT